ATATATATATATATATATATATATATATATATATATATATATATATATATATATATATATATATATATATATATATATATATATATATATATATATATATATATATATATATATATATATATATGTTTCAGACTATGAATGTAATTTATGTTTCTAGTAATAAGGTAAATGTAACACAGAGGAGATAGTGGGAATAGCCATGTCTCCAGCAATCGTCATATCCTTTTCTTGGACTGTTTCATTACCCCACGAGTCATATTTAACCTTTTTCTAATAACGAGCTGGATGACTTTGATCAAATGTGCCTCTGAGGATATTGGATAGAATTTCATTTCAATATTCATCAGATGAACGCCATTTGAATGGAACGAAGTGTTTGGGTCGTCTTTGCCTGATCATTGTGATCAGATGATTCGCATTATTTCTGAGGTTTGGTCTCTTCGCAAGCTTCTGGCCCTTAGCTCTTTTAAACCCATTCAGGTCTAACATGGTAATTCTGTATCCGTTAAATGAGGAAAGTTGGCGAATCCATTAATTTCGATTAAATGAGCAATGCCTTTTAGTTTCAGTTTGAATAGTTGAACCGGTGAGTACCGCCATGTAGATTTGAGATATATAGACGCTGTAAACTATAAAGAATTCAGAGCGTGGTTACTGCCCATTATGTGGTTGGCTTTGTGGGGTCAGTATAAGCTGTATGTTGTATGTACACTAACAGGTATGAGTACATTGAGTGGCTATATGAAGTATGAAATATGTGGGTACTGTGATGCTGTATAGGTACTGTGATATATCATTTGTTTATTGTATGGGTACTGTTAGCCAAGGGTTGGATATTGTATGATCATTACCAAGAATAGCATCACGGTTTACTATCAAAGAATGTTGTAGATGAATTCAAAACATATGCTTCGTAATTCAACCACACACTCTTCTTCCACAAGACCATATAACCTACCCAACCATCTGCTAAACGCAGATAGGGAGTTCTTTTTTTCCACTGTGTCTTGTTCCAGCTGAACCTCTCCTCAATAACACACTTTAGGTGAGAGGTGTTGGTGAACACTCAACCGTGACACAACACTGGAGTTATACTTGCGTCCAGCCATTACGTATTCAAGTTCATATGTTTTATATATCAATTACTCTACTTTGGTTCCTTATATGATAGGCTGGTAGAGTTCTTTAGTTTTGTTTTGTGCATCTTTTATATATATATATATATATATATATATATATATATATATATATATATATATATATATATAGGGGGGTACCACCACTGGTGTAATTATAGGGACCCACAGCCTCAGAGAAGGGAACACAGAGCACTCAGGGAAAACTTGACATTTAACTCTGAATACGAAAGAGTGTTCACTTCTCCTACCACCCCCTTTTTTTTTTTTTTTTTTTTTTTTATTATGATGTACACTTTATTATGCAAGGTTATACAGTTACATATCTGATTTTATACAAAAAATGAACATTAAGAGGACACAAGAAAAAGTTCGCTTCCTAGAGGCTGTAGATTTCCTCGACTCCTCCGACGCCGGGCAGGAACCGAGGATGCAGCGGGCATTTCCCCTCTGGATCGCGACACTGAGGCGCTGAAAGAGAAAACTTGCTGCTCTAGGGTCTCTTGTGGTGTCAATGAGCTTGGAACCAAGATCCTTAAGAAACCTTCTTGCACTCTCACCCCATGGGCCTAGGGTCTCAGACCCTATTGGAACGAAATTGTATATATATATATATATATATATATATTTTTTTTTTTTTTTTCAATAGGGAAGGGAGTACCACCTCTGGCTGGAAGAAAGGGGACCCATAGCCTCGGAGGAAACCACACATAACGCATTGGAGGGAATGGGGTCCCCTCCAATACAGTTTCTGTGTGCTTTTCTCCTACCACCCCCTTCCCTTTTTTTTTTTTTTTTTTCCTTTATTGTGTATTTAAAGGTTACAAAACATACAAGACAAATGCCTAAAGGTTATGGATCTCTTGAAGCTCCTCCGCTTCTGGACAGGAACCGAGGACGCAGCAAGCATTTCCCCTCTGGATCGCCACACTGAGAGGCTGAAATAAAAAACTGGAAGCCCTTGGGTCTCTGGTGACGTCAATGAGCTTGGAACCCAATTCCTTGAGAAATCCCAAGGCACTCTTGCCCCAGGGGCCATGCGTCTCAGACGCTATGGGAACAAAGAGGTATTGACCTTCCAGTCGCCTGTACTTGAGTGATTTTGCTGTTTCCCTGTGGTTGGCCGCCCCACCTGCTTGATCAGCTCCGAAGTGTACATAGGTGTCAGCCAGGGTGGATACACATGTGTTGTCCCACACCAACTGTCTACCCTCCTTCCATGAGTATATGGTGATGCCATCAGGGCGAAGTGCGGGGAAATCCAGGTTTTGGACCCCTAGGATGCGAGGTTCTCTCTCCGCTGGGCACCCAGCTGACACGAGGCTTCTCTTGATGATGTCATTGACCTCGTTGTGTCTTGCATGCCAGCCCTTTGTGCTTCCGCAATGCAACCCATGCAGTCCGTATTGGTCTGCTTCCACCCTGTTGCAAATACACTTGTATTCAGTGTGAATTGGGGCACCAAGGCGGAGGGCCACTGCTACACGAAGGGATTCTGGATCTAGGCGCGTGCCCATTGCTGACATGGGTACTGCCAGGAGGAAGTCTCCTGCATGGGGGGCACGCACTGCTCTGAGGCGGGCTTTCTCCTTGTCTGATGTTGCGACGCTTAGCATGGCATCAGCTACTTTTTCCACTAGAGGGTGGTCCCAGCCGGACTGTTTGTGTTGTTTTGTTGGCTCTATAATGGTGGCTGGGGCTGCAAGAACATCCCACTGATTTATTTATATATATATATATATATATATATATATATATATATATATATATATATATATATACAGAGAGAGAGAGAGAGAGAGAGAGAGAGAGAGAGAGAGAGAGAGAGAGAGAGAGAGAGAGAGAGAGAGAGAGAGAGAGAGAGAGAGAGAGAGAGAGAGAGAGAGAGAGAGAGAGAGAGAGAGAGAGAGAGAGAGAGAGAGAGAGAGAGAGAGAGAGAGAGAGAGAGAGAGAGAGAGAGAGTGAGAAGCAGCATAGCAAAATTTAAAGTAACATCAACAGCAGTAACATCATCAGTAGCAGAAACAAAATTATCTACTGCAAAACAGTAACAGCATCACAAGTAACTACAGCATCAGCAGCAGCAGTAGCAACCTTAGCAACAAAAGCAACAAATACAACCCCGGCGTTAAAAGCAGCAGCATGAGAGCAACAACTGCAGAGCATCACCCACAGCAGCAGCAGCTGCTTGAAAGCAACAGCAGCACAGCAGAGCAGTATTAGTTTTACGAGGAGACACACCCTCAAACTTGAGAACCGTCGAGGCGAAGCCCAAGAGTTATAAGCCTTGAGATTTAACCAAGGTGTGAGGATGGCGACTGTAAGGCCTGGAGACCCAGGGAAGGGGGGAGAGAGGGATGTGGAGAGCCGAGTAGGCAGGAGGAATGAACATATTAAGAAAGTTGAGAAGAAGTTTTTGCAAGAGAGATCGGGGGAGGGATAAGTTCGCGAAGGCTTGAGTGTGGCGGAGAGTAATCCTTGTTAAAAGGGGACCTGCGGATGGATGGACTCTGCTGGGCAGGAAAGTCCAGGGAGGTCTGGAAGTTCGAAGTTGCGGGCACGAAGGAGATGAATTTGCTGAAAAGATTCAGTAAGACGTGGAACTTCAAGGAGGAAAGAGGTGGTGAAGAAAGTTGTAAGCGGACGGCAGAGTTGTGTCAGATCAAGGGAGAGTATGGGTCAAGTCTGTAACAGGTCAAAGGCAGGGATGATACCTCTTGTCACACCATGCCCAGGAATCGAACCCGGAATCACTCGATTGCGTTGTGTGTGCTAATCCTTAAAACCCAGAGAACCTCTTCCCTATTAGTATATATACGTCACGTAATGGACACACTGGAAATGTACAAGTGATCATTCGACAGACACGGAAAATCAAGTACTAAGAAACGATCTTTATAAACCTTAACGTTGTACATATCAAGCTAGAGCAAGACTTTAATTGTAGTATATATAATATATAATATATTGTAATATATTGTAATATATTGTAATATACATCGAGGGAAAGAATGTAGTATGAGCTATATTTTGGTATCTTGGGCATTTAATTGTAACCTGAGGAAGATAATATTTAGATTAAAATGCCCAACCGGTCTTTTCGTGGTATCTTGTCTAAATGACAGTCATATAGTTGCTTCCTCTTCATATCGTTCAATTGAATAATTAATAAACGACAATAAAGTGCATTTATTGCTCTTCCGAACGATATATAATTCAATAGGGAAAGATTTTCGACCTGTTTCTTGGTAAGATAGGTTTACTTGGGTAAGACAAGATTTGTTTAAGTTAGGTTTTAAGTATCTTAGGCAAGAATGGGTTAGGATAAGCTGAATCCATATACATTAGGTAACTACATCCCTGGCCTCATAATGGATAATTATTTCTCGTCAAAAACCATCGATTTAAGTTGTTCCTGATAATTAGTGCGCCCCCGACAAGCTGATCGCATTGCCAACTTACATGACGTGGCTGATGCACGAGGATATGATGCACGATAAGATAAGTTAAGCCTTAATCCTTACGAGATCTCTCCAGCGAATTGAAGAAGTCAGGCTTGTTAATCAAACATCTCTAATTCTTTTGCCAGAGCTGGCGTTCGCGTTCATTTTAGCAGGATTGTAAATTCTTTCCCCCTTCTTCGTTTCCCATACAAGTAGTTGGAATTAATGGAAAGTTTCCGCGCTCTACCTCCTGGGCTCTCGTGCATGTCCTCTTTAATTTGTAGCCTAATTATCTCCCACGTCAGAGTTACTCCTCCAGCACACCAAGAGGCTCTCTCTGCACACACACACAAATGTCCTGGAAATTCAGTCTGGTTGCATCTCTCACACTCATCTCGTGACCTTACTCCACAAACCTTACCTCCCTGATAACACGACCCGTCACCCTCACCTGCCTGATAACACGACCCGTCACCCTCACCTGCCTGATAACACGACCCGACACCCTCACCTGCCTGATAACACGACCCGTCACCCTCACCTGCCTGATAACACGACCCGTCACCCTCACCTCCCTGATAACACGACCCGTCACCCTTACGTCCCTGATAACACGACCCGTCACCCTTACGTCCCTGATAACCCGACCCGTCACCCTTACGTCCCTGATAACCCGACCCGTCACCCTTACCTCCCTGATAACACGACCCGTCACCCTTATCTCCCTGATAACCCGATCCATCACCACTTCCTCTAGGATATCCCCACATCACATCTCCCCCTCCCTCACCATATTGCTTCCCTGACACACCACTCATATATCATCATCTCGCATCTCATTCTCACCAAACTCGCCCCATTCTAATCTTTCTCACCCCTCCCATGTCTCTCACCTCTCTCTCTCTTCCTCTCACCGTTTTCTCCTCTTCCTCACGCAGTCCCCCCTCGCTCTAAAATATGCATATATATTTACGTAAATCTCCACTGAAATGATTAAATCCAGCGGATGGAGGAATCTGTGTACTTTATGAGAGAGCTCTTTATGCAAATACACTTTAAAGACATTCCACGGACGCCTATGTCGACACATTATAAAAGGCAAGATTTTGCATTTATCTTTTTGGTCTGTACCTATAGGCCTTTTAACATTTCTCATTGGATCTTAGGTACTTACTCCATGAGAGGCACATCACACAACATGGTCAGTTCATGTATGAGACATTGAGTAGCGTGATCACGAATCTACGCTAGGGTCACGCGAATCGACGCTGGGGACACGGGAATCTACGCTGGGGTCACGCGAATCTACGCTAGGGTCACGCGAATCTACGCTAGGGTCACGCGAATCTACGCTGTGGTCACGCGAATCCACGCTAGGGTCACGCGAATCTACGCTGGGATCACGCGAATCTACGCTAGGGTTACGCGAATCTACGCTGGGGTCACGCGAATATACGCTGGGGAGTTTCACTTACCACAGCTAAAGGATGGGATGCACTTCATAGCTGGTACCACATCTGTGTTTCGGTACATCATCATACCTCATCTCATCGCCTCTCATCCGTCTCTCTTGCCTGCCTCATCATCCCCTCATTCGTTCCTTCCTGCTTTACCGCCCTTTAAGCCTCACTCCTCCTTCCCCGATCATCCATCCTGATATCCGTTACTTGCTTCATCTCATCCTCCACGCACCTGTCACTCAAACTTCTTCCCCCAAGCTCACCCTTCAATCTCTCACGCCCGTCAATCTGTCGATTTACCTGTCCATTTCGATTTCAGCTCACACGGTCATTTCTCCCTCAAAGCCTCCTGTCATTCCTGCCCTTCGTCTTAGCCTCCATTCATTCTCTTTCATCTCAGCCAGACACTATAGATGTGTAGGAGCAGATACATACATATGATATCACGTATAAGCATGGGATAATATACATGTGTGGGATAATATACATGCGAGGGGAAATATACGATGAGCGTGCAGCAAATGTGAACTACACGCGATCACAAGGTAACGAAGACTTTGTGAGGTGATAAAAATGGTGTTAACTCTGCCATTGAAAGAAAAGACTCTTTAATCAATTTTAATTAAATTTCCACTTTGACTCGTTCCTTTCATATGCAGCCGAAATTCAAGACAATTCTTTTTCACTCAGTTCTAGACATTTAAATTGAAATATTATATATAATTAAGATTAGAATTGTACTCTTATATGAATACAAAGGCATTGGGTCCTTCACAGTAATACGAATATGTGAAGGACATTCTACAATAACAGAAGGGGGAAAGAATGAAAGATCTCTTCATTAATATATATCCACCCACTTGGGCTGGACGGTAGAGCGACGGTCTTGCTTCATGCATTTCGACGTTCAATCCCCGACCATCCAGGTGGTTGGGCACCATTCCTTCTCCCCCCTCCCCCCCGTCCCATTCCAAATCCTTATCCTGACTCTTTTCCAGTGCTACATAGTCGTAATGGCTTGGCGTTTTCCCCTGATATTTCCCTTCCCTTCAATAATATCTCTCTCTCTCTCTCTCTCTCTCTCTCTCTCTCTCTCTCTCTCTCTCTCTCTCTCTCTCTCTCTCTCTCTCTCTCTCTCTCTCTCTCTCTGTCACACCCACACACACACATTCACACACGTCGTAATCCTCTCAGATCATTGCTTGAAGGCGTAATTTCTAAACAAAAACAGAACAGTGAGCTTTTGGACCATGCTTGGAGGCGCCCAGAAGCCCAACACAAAGATTCTTCAAGTGACCAAACGAGTACACCGTTAGATCGCCTCCAAAATGGGAGGAGACATGGAGAGGGGCGAACTGCTGTCATGTGGCTTGGAGTGTGTGTGTGTGTGTGTGTGTGTGTGTTGGAGGGGGATATGGGGAGTGTATGCGCGGAAGATGGAAGAGCAGCCTGGAAGAGAGTTTTAGATGGGAAAAGTTTGTAGGGAAAGGTGGGCGTGGTTGAAGCAAGAGGGAGCAGGAGGAGGGGGGGGGAAGATGAGTAAGGTGAGTCTGATTGGAAATGGAGAAGATTGTGTGGGAGGGCCATGAGTCGACCCAGGAACCATCGGGTAACTGTCTAGTGTTCAAGTTCAAGTATGTTTATTAAGACAAGAAAAAAGATACATCTCAAAGGGATAGAGTAGCTTAGTCTATTTCTACCCACTGGCTAGTGCTTTGCAAAGGGCCAACGTTAGTGGACACCACTAGCCAAGCTCTCATCCTAGAACTACACTCAGATAATTTAAGCTGCGAAAACACGCGTCCTTCAATTTGTAAATCTAAGGATATTGCTCATGAAATTTCAATGACTTTTTTTTTTTACATTTAAGAAGACTGTTGGGACTGCCCTCTTGGCTACGTCTCTCCTTCTTTCTCGAAGATGAAAACCAGGAGCATAAACTAGGTGACCTTGGAAGTCAAATTGAGTGGGGTCGGCCATTTAGGTGGTCAGATTCGACAGAGGCGACGACTTTGATTGTCAAATTAGGAAAGAAAGCAGCAGCATGAAGCAGCATTATGGTGGGGAAAAGCAGCGGCATGCAGCATTATCCTGGGTAAAGCAGCAGCTTGAAGCAGCATTATCCTGGGTAAAGCAGCAGCTTGAAGCAGCATTATCCTGGGTAAAGCAGCAGCTTCAAGCAGCATTATCCTGGGTAAAGCAGCAGCTTGAAGCAGCATTATCCTGGGTAAAGCAGCAGCATGCAGCAACACTCTCCTCTAGAAATCAGTGGAGTGCAGTTCCGTCCTCGATTAAATGTCTAATTACGTGATAAAAAAATTACATCAGAAATAACGGGCGGAGTTGAGAGCGTCATCAAAGAACGCGGGATCGGTTATCAACTTGTGTGATACCTCCCAACACACACACACAAACACTCTGATTACGTGAAGGTTCCTTTAATCTCAAGCGGATTTGGAAACGACTAAATGAGGCTATTTTGGGCTGTTGCCATTAACGTGTAAATGAAACAATATCACATCAGTCAAGCAAATGTGACGTACTGAAATTGTGTCTTCTCTAATGTTGGGAGGAAATTAAGTTGAGAATTAGGCGCTTTCTTCTCTTTTTAACACTGACAGATTATCAGATTTCGCCGGGTCTGCGACTGAAAAAATTGGTAACGAAACAATAATTAACTGCCGCAGTTCAGTACCTGAATGTTGGGGAACCTACACAGAAACTAACGTTGTGTCTGGCATAAACATTCGAACGTCGTCTGCAGAGTCACAATAACGTGGCTGAAGTATGTTGACCAGACCACACACTAGAAGGTGAAGGGACGACGACGTTTCGGTCCGTCCTGGACCATTCTCAAGTCGATTGTGACTTGGAACTATTTTCACAATATCGACCGGCTCATCCTTCAATAATGATTGTGCTTATAGCAACTATTTGATCAAACGTACACAAATTTATTGGACCCCAAATCGTTCTCGTTTTTATTTATGAGATAAGCCCAAATACAATGTTAAATAAAACGTAAACTTGACTAAATAATGTAATAAAATTTGTTCAAGGACAAAATAAACATTCCTACGCCTAATATACGCTATTCTAAGCCCTACTCAGAACAGTGTATGTGCTATACAAAGTCTAGAAAAGCTGATGTTCAATTTTTGGCTCTCTCAGTTTGGCCCTCCCAGAACCTAGCCAAAAACTGGGTTTTTGGCTGGGATCAGTTTTTTCGTGCCCTTTACAAAATTCACGTAAATAACGTGATCTTTGTTGGCTGCAACAGTCCGTTCGTGAGCTATAATTTTTGGAGGAGGGGCCGAACCCTACAATAACAAATTTGAAAGTTAAAAACAACCTTTATCAGAGAAAGCATATATAATTATGTTCGATAATGAATTTTACTAGTGTACTGTACATTACCCAATCAGGCACATCTTTGGGCAAGAATCTCGGGAGATGCATATTTCAAATAAATAAATAAAGCTTGAAAACCTAACATTTCAAACTGTCCTAGATATGTGATCTAAGAATGAAAGGTCTCTGTGTTATAAATAAGTTAAAGTAGTATGTTAATTGATATATATCAAATGAAATTTATCTGTCGGTTTTTCTCAAAATTTTTGCGAAGTTCGTTTTCAATATAACACCTTACAGTACCTAAGTGAGGGTATTTTAAGTAATTAATCTTTTTAGGTACTTAAGAAAATTTAACATACAGGGAAAATTGCTCATTTCAGATTTTGCTCAAATTCCTATACAACTTTCATTTACAAACTAATTAAATTAAAAATTAATTGCCAGGTAATTACTTGGTACTGCTGTGGAATCGAAAACTTCTCAGAAATTAAGCAAGCTAAAGGAGACACCTTACTTACTATCTGCCTCACAAGATGCCACACAGGCATCATGTGAGGCAGTGGAGATCAATGTGAGCATCGACATTGTCAGTCCTTTCACGCATCCTCACGATAACGTAAATTATCTCCATAAATCAGAACTGTCAGCATCAAACTGGCGGATGTCGGCGATAAGTCACAATAACGTGGCTGAAGTATGTTGACCAGACCACACACTAGAAGTTGAAGGGACGACGACGTTTCGGTCCGTCCTGGACCATTCTCAAGTCGATTGAGAATGGTCCAGGACGGACCGAAACGTCGTCGTCCCTTCAACTTCTAGTGTGTGGTCTGGTCAACTGGCGGATGTCATCATATATAACCAGCGCACTTTTCTCTGCTTTATGTAAGATTTTCATCACTACTCAACACTAAAATATAACCAAAAAATAAATTAATAACAAATGAAAACCACTGAAAATTCCCCGCAAATGAAAGCAAGATAAAAATGTGATGTATAATCACAAATGTAAGACCTGTTCCACATTCTACGACCAGTAATGGAAAGACAACATTGGCGAATAAAACTTTTGAGTTGAAATGGAAATTAGTTGCGTCTATATTTGAGGTTTCCAGGAATGGCTTTACAAGTACGCGTCACTTTTATCATTAATACGGAAGATAAAAAATAGTTCAAAACAAAAATTATATTAATTGTTGAAGAGTTCGTCACTACAGACAACTAATTGAACACACATTATCCAACAAGTAATGTGAGGCCTTTATATATATAAATATAATTATTTCCATATGTAAGAGCACCTTAAAGCCTGTATCTTGTAGCAGTCATCCAATCAAGACCCACGTGAAGCCTTGAACTTACGAGCGGTGTGATTTAATGTCTCATGTTCACTGGCTCAACCTTGAAGTCTCCCGTTTGATTTTGATTCAACTTTCTCCTCGATTTTGTAGTGTAACGTAAGACCTGGCAGATGTTCCTCTGCTGGGACAGCATTTCCTACACGTCTTGTAAAGCATAAGCATTACCAGACGTGTAGTCTCATGCCAACGCTCTCTTGCATACAAGAATGTTCCATTCTGATATCCTCGCTTTAACCTTCACTCTCCTTGTAGATAAAGTTGGACATGACATATCAACGTTCACCCTTGGCCGCCCATGCAACAGAGCCCCGGTCGTGTGAAACTCCACAAATCATTCCCCCAAAGGTATCTTATCACATCACCAGGCGACATGGCACACAAGACATCCCGCTTGGTGTTAGAGAGCAGGAGCTGTGAGTGTGGCATGCCACACTATGATATTTATTGGTGTGTCATACCATTAAATCGTACCCCAGTAGGCAGTAGCGGCTACTTATGGTGGATACCTGTTAGCTGAACTGGAATTTAGAGTACTTTGATGAATCGATTTGGATTTCAGTGCACCACTTTATTTTCTTTAATACTACACAGTTATGTATCTAAAAATCTAAGTTCCGGAAATATGTATTACGATGATAATTCTTTCCAGATGGTAAACGAAGATTTATCAGACATGATCATTTGTTCACTTGCTCTCCGTCTATAAATATTTAATGTATTATTCCTATTCCAAATTGTAAGTATGAACCGGTGAACTTTGCAGGTCCGGTGTAATTGGCCATTAATGGCCAATTACCAATCTTCCTGACATTTAGTTCCCTGCTCTCACATACTCGGTATCTAAATTTATATGCAATTATTTATTGGCATGTGCAAAATGTTTACACTAGGAAATGTCAGAAGGAAAGTAATGTACCTAAATATCTTTTAGAGTCCATGACTGGGTGATAACACATTTACACACACTCATGAAATACACGTGTATACACATACACATGAAACAGGTAAAAATTGATTGCCCAAATGAACCACAGATATATTAGAAAGAACTTTTTAGTGTCAAAGTGGTTGACAAATGGAATCCATTAGGGGGTGATGTGGTCGAGACTGACTTCATACACAGTTTCAAGTGTAGATATGATATGATATGTGTAGAGGAAGCAGTACACCAGTAGATTGACAGTTGAGAGGCGGGCCCAAAGAGCCGAAGCTCAACCTGCGCAAGCACAACTCAGCGAGTACACACACTCAGTGAGGTGAGCGATGCAAACACCATTACCAGCATTGCACTTATATCTGACAGAGCTCCATAGACTCCGGAACCTGTACAACAGTCGATTAATGGTGAAAAGGCGAGACTACAGCGCTCCAATTTATCCACCACAAATAAAACCAGGTACTCACCTAGCTGTGCATGCGGGGGGTTGAGCTTTGGCTCTTTGGTCCTGCCTCTGAACCGTCATTCAACTGGTGAGGAGGTGGGTACTCCTAGATGAAAATACACGCACAAACAAGAACAGTGACGGACTAAAGAATGTTAAGAATGTGACACTGTTAAGTAATAAGACAATCCCGATGTTCATCGGTCGAGAAAATGTTGATGAAATACAGTGAATTATTCAGTGAAAACTACAAGGAACTGGACGCTACGATACAACGACAGAAATGAAAAAAAAATAATTATAAAATTATCAAAATGTCATTATTAAAGATGATGGCTCAAAAGAGGAGATAAACAAAAGAAAAAAGAATTTTTTTTTTTTTTTTATGAAAATGAATGAAATGGGAAAGTTCAAAGAAGAATTATCAATGCAATATTAAACCCAAAAATTAAATTGGAGCCCAAATACGGGCCATTATATCTGAAAATTTAGGTAACCAAGCGGCCCAAATCAGAAAGAAAATTGACAAAAATTGTGACTGATGTTAACTTTAGTATTATGTCACCTATAACAAAGAACATTTGTTAATTTGCCAATGAGAACGGACTTACCTCACCCTATACACCGTACGTCCGAACAGTTTTTGTCCACCCCGGTACACCGTACGACCGAACAGTTTTTGTCCACCCCGGTACACCGTACGACCGAACAGTTTTTGTCCACCCCGGTACACCGTACGACCGAACAGTTTTTGTCCACCCCGGTACACCGTACGACCGAACAGTTTTACTGTGTGTGTGTGCAGAACAGCGTGGTGTGAATGAGTAATAAATGAGTAAATTTAACCTAAATGGATTTAGGTTAAATTTCGTTTTTGGTTGCATCCTAGGGAGGGTCAGTTGTTTGACTATGGATGGACCTCGATTCAAAGCCTCAGATCAGGCTTCCTGTCCCAGAAAACGGAAGTTATTAGATGACCTATCTCTTGGAAAGGCGGGTCCCAGGAACCGACACTTATCCCGTCCATCTTATATAGGGAAAGAACCGTCAAAGGAGGAGAACTGGGGCCAGATTCATGAAGAAGTTTAACAAACACTTTCGAATTTGTTCATCTTTTGTCAATCTTTGGC